ATTCCGCGAAGACGAACAGACCAATGCAAACTGCGTCCACGCCAATGACGGGCACAGCTACGCCACGCTTGAACCCCCTCTAGTAGGTCACAGGATGGGAGTGGCGCTGGAGAGGTTGCCGATGATGAACCGGCCGAACAAGAGGAGAGGGAAGCCGGTCAGTTCTTCCACGTTGGGGAGCCGGAAGAGGAAGCGGTGATCCCCCATGCTGGAGCTTCACTGCACCCGCTCAACACGTGGATATTGGACTCGGAAGCGGCATGGACCATGACCCGAGGGGCCGAGCTCCTTGCCAGCACCGATTGCTGAGGTGAAGTCGGCATCCGGGCACGCTCTCAAGGTGACGGGGGCGGGACGTGTTGCATTCAAAGGTGCCGACAGGAATCCGGTGGTGCTGAGCGATGTGCTACTTGTCCCTGACCTCAAGGCAAATCTAATCTCCCTCAGGAAGGGTTTTTTTATATTTTTTTTGGACGTAGATATATTAGCAAACATAAGTACATCCGCAGTCGTAACTGTAGGCATGGGAGGCGAGAGCCCCGCTATCGAGCGAGACCCATCCCCCCTATACGCCCTACGGGGGTTGATATATGGTCCTCGAATTTCGCCAGATGGACACGAAAATATCCGACCACCTTGTTGGTCTGTCCGCCGCACTGATCTCCTTCAGCGCTCTCCTCTCATCCGTTGCCACCTGTTCCCATGCGTCGTAAGGGCCACTCCTCTGCGCCCCTATCCTTACCGCCGCCCTCCTCCTCGCTGTTAGCATCACGCGCGCATGTGTCATGGAATCCACTACGGCATTCCGCCCCACCTTTTTCCTTTGGAACGGGACACCCCTTCACACCGCGTCACAACGGGCCAGCCACACTTGTCTGAGCACCGATGCAATAATTGTCGTTTCCGGGAAGCCCGAACTGGTGCCCCCTTGCTCGAAAAGCAGGTCTTCTATCGAGTGCGCCCTCCTGCCCGGGTTCATGAGCTCCAAGGTTCTCACCAGCGCACCAATTACCGGCTGGATCACTCCGCAGTTGAACAGGCAATGGTCTAGGGTTTCATACTCCCCACAGTGCGGGCAGGCGATACTGTTCCTCATGAAATCCAGTCTCCCTCCTACCTGCAGGTTCATGCTGTGGGCCCTGAGCAGGACATCCCTCGCCTTCTGCAGCACCACAACCGAGTCTCTTCTTGCTATCGTCCCTTTCCAATCAATCTTCCTCCCCCACACAGCCTCCCATTCTCCCTATCTCCTTGACACCCCTTTGTCTCCCGTCATGTCCCTCCGTATTTGTCTCAGAGCCCTCAAAGCCCCCTTATTGAACAACTTCGACTTCGTAAGCAGCCTCGTCTTGGCCACCCCCACGGGCCCTTTCAACTTCATGTCTTGCACCGCCACTGGCTGCACCCTACAAACCTCAAAGCACGCCTTGTATGGCCTTTCCGGGGCCACCAACGCTCCTCCTTCCTCCAGCCGCAGCTGGCGTCGAGCTTGTTGCCAGCCACCCGGTTATTTCCCAGTACGTCTTGACCTCCGATTGCCGTGACAACACGCACGCCACTCCTGTCTCATCCCGAAGCGTTTGTGCGGTGGCAGGTGCTAACGCCATCTCCTTCCAGCTCGCCGGGAGGGCTTCATAAGCCTTGCGGGTCAGCGCCGCCGCCACCTCATCCCCCAGCTCCTCCGTCAGCTCTTCCAGACTTTTCGGCCTCCTGCTGTCATCCGGCAGACTCATGAGGAGGTCCCGGACGCGTAAGTTGAGTATCACCTCCGACCCCTTCTGTAATCCGAAAGGGCTCTGCCCCCTATGCATCACCTTCCTGTTAAAACAGAGCCACTCCTCGTCCACCTCCCACCGGCATGCAGGGTCCGGAAGGTCTGCGAAAGGGGAGCTCCAGAAGGCTTTTGCCGCTGCCTTCCATCGCTCACTTCCACCTGCCCACTTCTTTATCACCGCAGGATGGGCGAACCAAGTTCTTGTCCCCTGCGGGAGGCCGGCTGCTTCCTCCGCCAGCCACCGGCGGACCCGATCCGGTTCTGCCAGCAGCTTCCCCACTCTGCGGATCGCCAGCCCATCCAACCACACCTTGAGGTCTGCCAGCCCGAGGCCCCCGTCTTTCCTTGGAAGGCTGATCAGGAAGGCGCTCCAGTGGATAAATATTATATCGTCCGTCGCTTCCCCGCCCGAGACAAAATTGTGGCACAGCTTCCGTATCTCCCACACCTTCTCCGGCGGTGAGTACACCTACGCCTGGAACTCATAATCGGTAGCACGTAGCAGCCGATCACCGCCACCCTCGCCGTTGTTGTCAAGTATTGTGCCTCCCATCTCCCCAGCTCTTCCTTAACCCTCTCATAGGTCCTATCCCATGACGGTCCCGCATCACCATTCGGCGTAATCCATACCCCCAGCAGCCTTTCTGGCTCCTCCTTCTCCGCCCACTTGAAGCCAAGGCCCAAAGGCGCCGGCATGCCCCGGTTGCAACCCAGCGGCAGCACCACCGACTTTCCGCAGTTAACCTTCAACCCCGATTGCTTCCCGAAAGCTTCCAGCATTTTCTCTGACTCCCTCAGTTGCGTTTCCCCCTCCAGAAGGAAGGACGTGTCATCTGCGTACCCTACGTACGACAGCCGATTACCCTCCGGCGCGCACACCCCCAGCCTACGGCGAACCGCCTCCCTGCACAGAGGCTCCAAGGCGCAGAGGAACAGGTACGGTGCTAACGGACATCCTTGCCGCACCCCCCTCTTTATTGCAATTTTTCCACTCAGCCACCCGTTAACCGCAAATTTCGTCCCCGCGCCAGTGTGCAGGCCTTCTGTCCAGCGGATGAAAGCCTCCGGCACTCCAAGCTCTGACATCGTCTTGAACAGGAACTCCCGCGAGACTGTATCGTACGCCTTCTGGAAGTCCACCAGTAACAGCAACCAGTCCTTGCCGCCATTGTTTGCAGCATCCACCGCATCTACCACCACCGATACCGCGTCCGCCAGGTTCCTTCCCGGTAAGAACCCGTGCTGCTCCTTGGAGAGTACTTTCCCCAGCACTCTTTTGAGCCGGGTAGCCATCATCTTCGCCACCACCTTGTACAGGGTGTTGAGCAGGGTGATAGGCCGATACTTCCCCAGCTGATCCCTGTCTCCTTTCTTGTGCAGGAGAACTGTAACTGCCGTCCCGAGGCACTCCGGCAGCCGCCCCGTTCTCTCGAAATCCTTAATGAAGTCCATCACTCTGCCACCCACCAAGTCCCAGTGCGCGATGAAGAACTCCGCGGGCAGGCCATCCTGTCCCGGGGATTTGCCCTTCGGTTGAGAGGCCAGCGCTTCTTTGACCTCTGCCTCCGTCCACTCCTTGCCAAGCGCATCTGCATCAGCCCCCGAGAGCCGAGGCCCTGCCGCAAAACACTCCCAGTCCACTTCCTCCTCCTTCTTCACCTCCCCAAAGGCCGCGCCGAAGTGCTCCTCCACCGCCTTCAGGACTTCTCTTGTCCCGGTATAGTGTGCTTCACTTCCTGCACCAATGTGCGCTGCTTCCTGATCTTGATTTTGGCAGTGAGATACGGCGAGAGAACCTCCCCGTTTAGCTCCACATTCAGGCTGGCTAACACTTGCAACCTTTCTCTGTCTCTCTTTAGGTACACTTCCAGCCTCTCTTCCACACGGACCAGCCTGTTCTGCCCCCTATGTCGTGGCCGTTGCATCACCGACTGCCTGTTCTGCCTGTTCAGTGCCTTCTCCAAGTCACACCCTGACTGTCCCTCCATCCGGCGCATGGCTCTTTCTGTCACCATTTTAACACCCATCGTGTCCACTTGCTTCGCCTACAGCCTCCACATGCCCGGGCCTCTCTCCAGCGAAGCTGACGGGGAGAAAGCCACCCTGATTGCGAACCAGTGATCCGAGAGTGACTTCAGGACATAAACATGCTTTGCCTCCGCTAGCAGCCCCAACGCCGACAGCGAGACAAGTGCGCGGTCAATTCGCGACGGGTGCAGAAAGTGTACTCCCGCCGTGACGGGTGCAGAGCGCGGAAAGCATCGCGCATATCATGCGCCGGCCAGAACCTCTGCAACCTCGCATCCTCCGACGCCGAGCCCGCGCGCGACGACCAGTCCAGCTCTGGGTCCTCCACCAGATTAAGATCACCCAACAGCACCAAGTGCGTCGACACCGGCTGCGCCCGCACGAAAGGGGTAAGGCAATCCGTGAGAAAGGTTGCCCTCGTGCTTGCCTGGGCAGGTAGGTAAGCCGCGATCAGCCGGAACTCCAGGTACGCCGTGCTGATCGTGACCCCCACCAGCCTGCCTGAGCTGTGTTTTACTACGTCTTTAAACCGAACTCCCTCCGCGAAAGCGAGAACCGCCACCCCTCCTGCCTTTTGACTCGGGGCCACGGCTGCCATTGCCTTTGGCCGTAGCTGTGTCCAGAAGTTATGATCCTCCCCTACCCGTGTATCTGTTAACACCATGATGTTCGCTGTTCTCCTGATCCATTTCATGTTCTTCCTTCTCTTTCCGTTGCTCCAGAGGCCATTGACGTTGACCTCGCACAATGTGATGTTGTTGGTGTTCTTACCCATTATAACACTGCACAGGAGCCCCTTCGCATCCACGGGCTTCGGTACAACCAAGTGAGGACACCGATTCATACTGCAAACTACTCATGCTACAGCCGTTGCCCAGCCAGATCAAGCGGAAACACACTCTTCCTGCCGACCCCACAGGCGCTAGATCAGTCACAGCTCGAACTCCTTGCAGATCGCCGTCAGATTCACCTTCCCCCTGCTTGCGCGCGTAGCCTCCCCCCCCTTCAGGAGAGCGGTACAGTGCTGGACAGAGCGAACATGCGCTAACGCCTGCGCGAAACTGGACCCCCGCGCCTTCCCGCACGACTCCTGGACGCAGATCCAGTCTTCCCTACTGCCACCTGTGGAGACCAGAGAAACCGCTGGGTTGTGCATCACCTTCTTTGTGGTCGCACTGATCAGGTGCGAAGCCGCTGCTCACGGAGGGATGGAGACGGCCGTTAGCGTCCTGGATCCGGACCCCAACAGCCTGAAAAACAAGGTTAGCGACAAAACCTTTACCGTTGATGTCATGGATGCGCTGCAGAGTCAGGTTCCATTTCGCAATATTCTCCTGCCTGTCCTCAGCTTTATCATCATGCAGCTTCGTGAAATGCATGCCGTTGCAATAATCGCACGTTAGAGATGGGAAATGAACAAGCAGTTGCTTATGGTGGACTGTATCATAAAGCATGTGCCACCAGCGATACTTATCCCCCGGGTGGGTTTTCACCAACCCCTTGATCTTGTGCGTGTGAGTCCCCGTAACAGGGTCCACCACGCGGTGGAAAGCGGCACCAGACAGATACGGGGGGCGTCCACGCTTCTCCAGCGGGGTCGTCACCACGAGCTTACGGATACCCTTCAGCAGTACGTCAATGGCATCCGGATTCTACGCACGCTCTTTGATGTACAGCGGATTCTCCGGATGTTGCCAACTCAGAGTCAGTTTTGTCTTCCCATCCGCACACATGTGCTCCACACGTCGGCACCAGGCGTAGTTCGCATCCGCAGCCTCCCAAACCGCTTCTTCGACAGGTAAGTCGGGAGCAAGACTTGGAGCTTCGTCGATGTCTGCGCGTGCGCCGTCAAGGCCTTCCTCCAGATGACCAGCAGTTCCTTCACCGTGTCAATGGTGCGCGGCACCTCATCCACGAACTTCTTCGGGACCAGCAGGGTAAGCGTGTAGCCCGCGAGAGCCGCGATTTCCCCCGCACGCACTGGATCCAGGCGCTCTTCCGGATCGTCACTCAAAAACCCGTCATCCTCTTCTTCGTCCTCATCCTCCTCCTCCACAGATGCTGGGCGAGGGTCTGCAGCCGGCGCCTCGAGTTCAGCCTCTTTTCCCTTCCCGCCTTCTGCGTTAGATGCCTCCCCCGATGCATTGTCCTCCAGGTTCTTGAAGCTCAAGGAGGCCAACTTCTTCTCCAACGACAGCCGTGTGTCATCCGCGAAAGGACCGACCGTCTCCTTCAGCAGTGGCTTCCGCGTCGCAGGCTCCGACTGGTGACCTTTAGCCAGCAGCTCCGCCGTGTTGCTCTTGGGGAGAACAGCAGTCTTCTTGGGGGGACGACCCATGGTGCGATGATGACAGCAACAGCGCAGCACTTTTGCTGACAATGAAGAAACTCTGAGCACCGATGTGTTTAAAACCTTTTGCGGACATCTAGGCCTTGCCTTCTTCCTTGTTAATCCTTGCTGATATCCAAAACAGAAGTGCTTGAAAGCGGAGGCCACGTAGCCAACATTGCAGTCGAGACCAATAGGAGGCGATTTGAAATGATAAGGATAAAACCACCTGGACGCTCTCGGGATCATGAGAGCCTTTAGCACAATCATTGCATGAAACCTTGGAGTTGCTTGACCAAAACCAGAAGTGCCTGACGAACGCTTGGTAGGTAACATGTCCACGGAATAGACACAAAAAGTATACCCCAGACGCGCCTTGCCACGTAGATTCCAGAAGTAGTCTTCAAATCAGCAACTTACAAGAAATTGCTAGACATTGGTCGAGTCAAAGTCCCTGGAGCTATCCATGGTGGCCTTGGAGTTTGGAGTTTCAAGGTTTGGGGCGAGTGTTCCCTCAAGAAGGTGGCCAAGTGCGGGGTCAGCACCTCCACCAACGGTGCCAAGACGTTTACGGGCCAGCCGGGAAAGCGGATGTTATGGGACCTACACGAGAGCCGAGACATATGCAGGTCTATGTGGCAGCTGCGGTGATGTCATGGTGCAAGGAGAATGGTTCACAGGGGGAGTGCAATGCTGTAGCTATAGAGGACCTGAAGGTTTTAGCAAGGGGTGGCGAAACGAACGGGATGACAGCTCACCATATCCTTGGGCACATAACTATGCCCGCACTGCAGCAATTGCAAAGGAAGGAGTGAAGGGGCTAAAGCTGACGAGTGCAGCAGTCACTCACAAGTGTGAGACTTGCATGCTGAGCAAGTTCACACGCTTCCCCTTTTATGCAACTGAAGGTGGCGGTAAGAAGCTCCTTGAGCTAGTGCACATGGATGTGGTGGGGCCGTTGCTGGTGCTGGGGAAGCGTGGTGAGAAGTACTTTCTCACCATTGTGGATGATTGGACAGAGTGACCTGGGTGTATCCAATCAAGAAGAAGGACCAAGTGCCATCTACCATAGCGGAACGGGCAAACCGCAAAGTTTTAGAAACGGCACGGGCACTCCTCATCGAGCAAGGGTTGGAGAACTCCAAGTGGCCACATGATGGGTCGTGAAGGAGGTGAAGTTCTCGGGAGTTTTGGTGCTGGAATTCGAGGAGGGAAGTGAGGGAAGGACCACATCACAAACGTGGCGAAAGGCAATGGGGGCGAAAATAAAGAAGGTTTTTGCAAACCAGCAGAAGGAACCAGACAGGTCTCGGAAGGGGGCAAGTGGCTAAAGCATACGGACAGGGAGAAAGCTAAAGATAGGAAGAGAGGCAACAAGTGCATGTTAAAGAAAATACAGGGCACCTAGAGAAAATGATTACAAGGGTAGGAAGCAGGGAAGAGAGAAGGAAGAGGAGGAGCATGATGAAGGAGGGGTTGGCACCAATGGTATCCGTTAGCTGTCACATGTAATAGAAAGGAGATTGTTTCTGTTACAAGTGATAGAAGGCGAAAGTGGTGTATACGAGGATTTTCATATCGAGAGGGTACATAGCGGAGCAATAGCGAACATTCAGGGGCGACAGCTGGAGTGTTACAGCAAGGATGTAACAAAGGTTGAGTAGCGAGCAACGCAGGCGCAGCGCGTGTACAGTGATGGCATTCAACAGATGGGGTTTCACGTGAAGTTGGGAGAGAGAGGAGCTATCAAGCAGTGAGGTTGAGCATCATGGGAGGGACGGTGGGGATTACCCCTGTACATATGTGGGCTGATCTTACGGTTCAGATAGAGTGCATGTCGGATGTTTGCGTGCGTTTGTTGCTTGCGTGCCTGCAGGTTCAGGCCTCACGCCACGCCCTCTGCAGTGGGTTAGCGGCTAGTGGAGGTTCTTGTTGTACATAGGCAGCTAGCTCACCATTAACTCCTTGCTTGTTTGTTTGTTTTCTCGTCATACTGGAGCCAAGTTTGCCAAATTCCCGAGCATAGTTAGCCACTAAGAGAAGCCTATCGATGGGGTTGAGTGGTTAAAGCATACGGACATAGAGAAAGCTAAGGATAGGAGGAGATGCAACATGTGCAGGCTGCGGAGAAGACAGGGCACGTGGAGAAAAGTATGACAAGGGCAAGAAGCAAGGAAGAGGGAATGAGGAGGAGCATGCGGAACCAATGCAGGCCCTGAGTTATCAACTTCAAAGATACTGATTAGGCTGATTTTGTAGGTTTTGTTTTCGTTTTCCCTGTGAATTCAGCATATTCTTCATTTCTGCAATGAAATTTCAGTCTAAACTTTGCGTGTTGCTGTACAAGTAACACTGACGAATCAGTATAGTTTCGTGAGTCACACTGAAACAGACTTGACTGACGGGGGGGGGGGGGGGGGGGTACGCATGTACAGACTGTACCTTCTAGTGATTCGCGAAACCTCACCCACACACTTCGTGTTTTCCCATGCACTGTACAGATTTGTTGTGCGCGCCGAAGTGTTTTGCCTCACTGGAACCTATCACAGCGACACCTCCAAACACATTGTTCATGACCGCCCAATAAGAAGACTGACAGCACACCACTGGAGGCAGGGTTTATGTCACCACGCAGCGGGTTGTAGTGGGGCGGGGGTCTTGTCATCTTGCCAGGAAAGACGGCCAGAGTGAGAAAGGGGTGGACCAAGATGCCTCTCCATGGCAGCTCTGGATGGGGGGTACCCCCTTCTAGTCCCTCATTTTATTCTTTTCCTTCCTGAACTCAACGTTTTCCTCTGCATGAAGGGACGTTCCCCTGCTGTCTTCCTCTCTCTAGCTCGGCACGCTGCAGTAGTCTCCTACCCACTCAAGCTCGGCACGCTCGGCCGAGCTGCGCGTCCATGGCGTCGTCACCCACAGGCGATGGCCCTAACTCCAACCCACCCACCAAGCCTGTTGCCCTTACAGGCGTCGATTTCTTACGGCGACCTTCCACCACTCCCTCGTTAGTCTCCCCTGTCAAACTATAATGCTGCTTATGTTGTGTAGGCTATAGTGGGGTAGCCTACTGTATATGGGGTACAACCCATTAGGGTTAGCACTTATACTCAGTTTGATGTCAATGCAATCATTCCTGCGTGTTATTTTCTGACATGGTTTCAGAGCAGTAGGTCTGTAGGACCGTTTTATTTCGGGCCCACCATTACCTAGTGACCGACTGCGGTTACTGTGTTACCCTACGCCCTGCCCTGCACTGCGCCGTCAGCGCGCGCCCTGCCCTGCCCTGCCCCGCGTCGCGCTGCCCCGCGCACGCCCTGCCCTGCCCCGCGTCGCGCTGCCCCGCGCACGCCCTGCCCTGCCCCGCATCGCGCTGCCCCGCGTCGCACAGCCCCGCGCACGCCCTGCCCTACGCGTCGCGCCCTGCTGCAGCCCGCGCGTCGCGCTCTACTGCTCTGCGCATCGCGCCCTACTGCAGCCTGCACGTCACGCCCTGCTGCCCTGCGCGTTGCGTTATACGGCAGCCCGCGTGTCGTGCTCTGCTACCCCGCGCGTCGCGCTCTGCTGCAGCCCGCGTGTCGCGCCCTGCTGCCCCGCGCGTCGCGCTCTGCTGCAGCCCGCGCGTCGCGCCCTGCTGCAGCCCGCGCCCTGCTGCCCGCGCCACCTAGGTCGAGCCGCGCCGCCCAGCCCGAGCCGCCCTGCCCAACCCGATCCGCCGTGCTACTCGTTCTACTGCTGCTGCTGGGGAGGTGCTGCTAGGAGTGCTGGAGGTGCTGCAACCTAGCCTCACCGAGCCGCTCTGCTGCTCTTACTGCTGCTACTGCTGCTCGTGCTACTGCCTTCCCTCCGTACTGCCCTTGTGGTCGCCGACCTCCTTGCTTGCCCGCTATGACTTCACTTCGTAGTAGCGGTGGGAGTGGTGACGGCGGTGGTGGCAGCAGTGGGAGCGGTGGCGGCCGTAGTAGCAGTCGTTGTGGAGCTGTTCGGTGGGGAGTTTCTGGCGGTGGCCAGATGCAGCTGTAGCGGCGTCCGCGTGAGACCCTTGCGCCCCAGCAGCTTCGTGAGTCGTACGCCAGTAGGTGTGGTGGCGGCGGCCGTAGTAGCAGTCGCGGTGGAGCCGTTTAGAGCGGAGTTTCTTGCGGTGGCCAGATGCAGCTGAAGCGGCGTCCGCGCGAGACCCTTACGCCCCAGCGGCGTCTGCAGCTTCGTGAGTGGTACGCTTAGAGTGGGGGGACTTGAAGTATTGTCCGCTGCTCGTACGTCATTCGCACATGTGATCGGGCTGGTTAGACTTGCAGGACAGTTGGTCACACACAGGCTCGCTGCTTCACCTGTCTGAGCGATGCCTGGCGTGTAGTGTTTGGCGATGAGGCTGGCTAGAGCTGCTTTGGAACAAGGTGGATATCTTTGCTCTAGACTATGATACGATACTATCCTCACTGCCATGTATGCTTTAACTATTAGTACTCAGGGTGACTGTTACCTGTGTGTGCCGCCTGACCCTGGTATAGCGGCAGCTGCTTTAGGTGCTGGTGAGTCTTCTCTAGGTGCTGGTGAGTCTGCTCTCTTTGGTACTGCGCATGCTGAGCCTTGTAGACCTTCACGCTTGACTCAGGTGCTTCCCGCTGCTTCTTTCGCGACAGCACCACAGTCACACCACTCGCAGCACCGGTTGCAGTCTCTCTGGCTGACTTCTCTGGGGGACCGTGTCCGGCGGTTCCGTCTGGCTCACTATTAGGTCTTCACCTCCCCTCGTTCTCTACGAACTTGGTGAGGAATGCCATAACTATATTGTAGGCTGTAGTGGGGCACTCCTTATGGGGTACAGTAGTGTTAGGATTTCCTACTTGTACTCCTCATGCTGCTCAATGAACTCATTCCTCGTTCTTATTCTCACATGGTATTAGAGCAGAATCGTTCCTAGGGCCCACCGAACGTTCCGCCCTGCCCTAACTGATTTTTTTTTATAGCTGCCCCTGCACCCGCGCTGCCCTTGCAGCCCGCGTGCTGCC